GTTTTGACGGTAACACAGATGCAGCCCTGGAGAGCGTAGAGAGACAAAAAAAAGACAAAAAAGCATAAAAAAATCGAACTGACCGCATCTTAATTTTTCACCCCTTTAACATTACACACTTTTTTGCATCTCTCCTGCAGTAACAGGGTGAGCGTGGAGGGAGCGACTCACAAGCAGGTGGTGGATCTGATCAGGGCTGGAGAGAGGGAGCTGGTGTTGACCGTACTCTCTGTGCCGGCACAGGAAGCGGACGGAGTTGAAGGTGGCGAGGAAAGCGTAGTGCAGCCCAATTACGACTACAGCGACAAGCAGGCTGTCCCCATTTCAATCCCCACATACAAACATGTGGAACAGCTCTCAGAGAAGTTTGTGGTGAGTCGTGTAGAAAGAACGAAAGCTTTTTGCTTTTTTTGTTTAGTGCTGGTAATCTTTGTGGTCTTGCTCCTCCTGTCTTAGGTGTATAACGTGTACATGTCGGGCAGACAGCTGTGCTCGAAGCGTTACAGGGAGTTCGCAATACTTCATCAGAACCTGAAGAGAGAGTTTTCCAACTACAATTTCTCAAAGCTGCCAGGGAAATGGCCCTTTTCTCTGTCTGAACAGCAGCTGGACGCTCGCAGGAGGGGGTTGGAGGAATACCTGGAGAGAGGTGAGACAGAGGACAGAGAGTGGAGGAAGTAAAATGTGTCCTTTAATTCTTATGCATTATTTTTTTATTACAATAGGGTTGGGGAAAAATGCAGGTCTTGTTTGCAATGTGTCCTTGTCCCATTCACCCTCTTATTGCCACCAATAATTTAATTTCACTCCCACCAACTTTCTTCTCTTAATCAACATGTTTGTTTAATAAAATGCCATTCAATTTAGTGCACAAAAATAAAAAAAATATTGTCCTAATTTTTCACCCAATAAATATTATATTGAAAACAAATTAATTCGAAACTGGATATGGGTTTTAATAAAACAAAATAAATTAAAAAAAATTACAAGTTATTTTTTATAAATAAAGTTTATAAGTTAATTTTACAATAAATTTTTATTTTTATTTTGATTACACAATTTATTTCTATTACAAGTGATTT